TAGGTATTAAACTATATTCTATTATCATAATAATGAGACATTGCGAAAATGAATTCGTTGTGTCATAAATGATGTAATATATGAATAAACAGACATAGCGAGTACAAAATATTCACTAAATGTTTATTATTTTGTATAGAGGGTAGGCAATTCAGCGTTCAACCTTCGCTCGTGGTCCGTTTTCTTTCTTTATTTGGCCTGGCTGGACGCGTTAGGATAGTTTTGTGTTTGTATTAGTATTTAAGCTTAAGTGTGTGTGCGTTTTTTTTTTATTATTTTCTTTCTTGTTCACATTTCTTCATATAAAATGCTGTTGTATCTACAATAATGTATAATACATATACATTCATTCACTGAAAAACATTGACGCCCCCGAAACATGATATTCGGTCTTCCTTAACGCGTCGATAACAATTTTACATTATTAGACATGGAAATGTATACACGTTTTTGTATTGTGTTCACCCGTTTGCCGCTATTATATTAGGTATGTGGACATGATCGATAAATATCAGTTTAGTAAAAATGTGTTTAGACTTTAGAATAAGGGTCAAAGTGGAAACGAGTGAATAATATTACGATTGCAGCGTGTCGTACGCATTATTGTATACAAATATATTTGATGTGGGTGCGACTCGTAGTTCTTCAGTGTGATATTTTGAAACACAGATTAAGATGTATATATTATAATAATATTGTGTCTGTTATGTTTATATCCCAAATTAATAACACCCATTGAGTTTTAATTTTCTGTATTCTGTAATGATTATTATCGCTGTTTCGATTATATTGCTGTGATATCAGTGTACGGAGCAGTATTTCCTAAGAAAGTTATACATATAATGTAACTTTCAAGTCTAATACGGCAAAATTATTCGTAATTACCTATTAAAAATCATTTGCGTAATTTTTAATTAAAAATTGTTATTAAGTAATATGGTAATTGTGTTACATAAATGTTAGGTTTTGTGCAAAGCACGCGCAAATCGAAGTAATATTGTGTATCTTCAAGCTTAATTTACTTCGTTATAGTTGACAATATTGTGTTTTTGAAATGGTTCATTAAAATATATTGGTCTCATAATATTTATATTTTATATTAAAAATAATTTTACTATTTGAATATATTATTATGTATTTTCAATACTTCAACCATTTTTATTTTCTAAACTATATCTGGTTTATTTTAAATTCTTAAAGGAGCAATTGAATGCATTGATTGTACAATGTCTGTTTTTTGGTGAGCTTACCTTTTGGAGCATAAGAAATGTTTTAACTTTCAACTTTGAGGATGGCTTCTGGTAGTAAATAGTATCTAGTTGGTATTTTGAGGGGGTCAAGAGTAAAAATGAACAGTAGTTCTCTAAATAATCGAGAGGGAGAATGGGTGCGATAAAACAAAAAATCGAAAATAAGAACATTAGTTTTTGACAAATAAAAATACTTTTAGTTTTTTTAAACTTTCAGCAACAACGTATATTATTGTTTTCTGTACACAATTCAATTTTCAAAATATTTAGATTTACACCTCTATACACCAATAATTTATATACATTGTTGGCAGAGACCGGGGAGGTAGAGCAATCTCAATCATATAACAAACAACAATAACTAGAATTCTTAAAGCCGAAAAATATTTTTTTAATTGTATTTAATCACTAGGAATCGTGCATTGAAATTTTATTTGAGTAGAGGTTGGTACTGATAACTTATGGTGGTAATACTTTTTATGTTAGTATTCTATACTTTTTTTTATCTATATACATACAAGGTCCCGTTGGTGTAAGTAATATATTAATCTAATAAAAATTAACATAAAATATGGTTAAAATTATAAATATTATTAATTTGAATAGTTGTTGCTTGTATTAGACTATTGAAAATAACTGTTAACAAATTTTGATTTATATGTATACGGTAGAATTATGTATTTTAGTATTACAACTATTATGAAAATATGAGACAGAACTTAATCATAAATAATGACCCTATAGCCCAATAATAGATAGTCTATCAGTTTTCTTATATTTTTATGTTCAATTTCATGTTTTTGAAACAAATAACAGTTTTCAGTTTTTTTTAAATAGTGATTATGTACGTTAATATTTTATGTAAAAAAAAGTTAAAAAACAGATTGTAGTATAAGACTGGTGTTACATTTATACATTTTTCATTATGATTAAGTTAATTCAAAAAGGGTAATCATCATTTTTCACCACAGTTTTAATTAAATAACAAGGACCCAGTAAATGGTCTTCAAGGTGTTTAAATTATATATATCATCGAAGAATACACTATTTTTGATCTAAAAAATAAATAAATAAATGTTCTTTTTAATAGCTTTTAATAGTTTTTAATGGTGTTTCCTTACTTTCGTTATTTTTTTTTTAATATTATGATCCTAATAAACTTCAGTAGAATAAACTGTTGTTATTTATTTATGCTTTTTATTAAATTGTCTAAATAATAAACGAAACATCATACATATATTACAATACATAGAATATCATACACTGTATATACTATATAGGCACATGTATTATATATTTTACATGATGTAATGTGTGTGTGTTTTATCTATTAGTAGTATACATAAAATATAGGTGAAAATACAGTATGAATGTCTTTAGGTACACCGTACACATATTTTTATTACAAGGTTCGTCTTTCAACATTATTCAGCAAGCATGCTCACCACACATTTTACCTTTAATAATGAATTTATTTAAATTCTGATTTTTAGGGTTTCTTAATACACTTGAAAGTTAAAGGACCATATTATTTTAAAATGTTTGATTTTTTTTGTTTTAATTAAGTATAGTCTTGTGATGATACACCTTTCTATGTTTCAAATTAAATAAGTACCCCCTTTTAAATTATTTAGTGGATAATTTATTGAAAATGTTGATGAATCTAATTTAAAACTCGAACAAGTAATTTCTCAGTGATTAAAATGTTTGTAGTAGTTACTTTATACAAATTTTTCTTAATTTTAAAATTTAACCTGACTGGAGGTTGAGTAATAAATTAGTATGACAATAATTTGTGTGTTCTAGATAGAATAAGAAGCAAGCACTTAAAAGTTTCTCTTATAGTATGTTGTTCCAAAAGTGATCCATTTAAGTGTCTACACTCATTATAATATATTCAGTCTCTTTTTTTAAAGTTTTTAATTTCGTGAAAAACAACATACAATTTTGATTTTATATTTCAAGGCAGAATATTTTTCTGAGTTTCTCAATACTTTAAAGTCGAATTTTTAACGAGTAGTCAACTACAATATGAATTGTTAAGCTTAATAATTTTAAAGTTTTAAAAATTTTTGAACTTTAAGGCTTACATAAGTGCAGTATTGGACCAGCATTTTACTGGGTATCGTTTTGCTATTCCATAGTGTATTCACACCTCTTATATTAACTTTAAACACTTACAACTGCTCATTTGAAATTTGATTCTATGTATTGAAATACTTTTAAAAATATTGTGCTTCGGAATTTGAAATTAAAATGTGTTTTCATTAAAAAAAGAAAAAAACCTTAAAAATGACGATAAATTAATACAAATGTTTGTTTTCAATGACATGCAGTTTTATCAAACTTGTTTGGATGGTTTGTTAAGTTGGATATTAAAAATTTGTTGACATTTTGATACATGGCTATTCTCAAAATATATTATAATCAATATATTAAAGACGACATACAACAAAACATAATAAAATAAGTCAGATTCTATTCAGAATATTGTTTTTCTGTATAATATGCAATGATTTATCATCATTTTCTAGTGTAATAACACAGCAACGGCCAACACCCAGTCACTAATCACAATATAATACAGTCAGTATGGCAGTGTATTATACTGGCCTTATTTTTAAAAATGTTTTTTTTAAACAGTTTTTTTTACATTTTACAGTCAGAATTTCTTTATTTGTATTACTTGAAACATTTCAATCAATAAAAACATATCCATAACCTATCTATATCAATTCAATTTAATTAGAGGTATAGTTTTTGTATTTGACGAACTATATATATGTATGATAATTATAAGATTTAAATATAGATCTCTCATATATTTATTGTACAATTATATTTTTAATTAGTGCTAGTAAATTATTATTAACTTAATTATTAACATAACTTCTTCGTTGGTATTAAAGATTACAATTTGCTTAAACATAACTTATATCGTTCAAAGAATGAAGAAACGAATAAGGCAAATAATAACATATGTAGGTATCTACACAATAATGATAAATATTTGCTATATTGTTATATTGAAATTATAGCCAATTTAGTAATACATTATAAGTATTTAGTACATACAGGCTTGTCAACATTTTGCAATTGATTATTGATATAAATTATAGTTTATATATTTTATAGCAGTATTACTAATTTATATATTTAAATTAAATTTACAAGCACTGAAGTTGTATCAACTGTAACTATGAAATTTTCTAAAATAAATAACTTCAAATAGCATAAAGTGTGCTTATGAAAATAAGTTGTATAAATCTTTGAGGGTGGGCGTTGGGGTTTTAAACAGTATAAACAGTTAATCAATAGCATTTATTGAAAACCTGCAATAGCTATGGTATTATAATGTCCTCTACATATAGTTTTATCAGTACCATTGTCTCCAAGAACTTTGGCCATTTAGGTTAGAGTAGGGTCGAGACGGTCTTTTTCATATTTACCCGAGTCCGAGTTTTGTGTGCTTATATTATAGGCGGAAACAATTAAATAATTATTTTCGTCACGTTTTTTTAGTTAAAGAGTTTCTCGTCGAGGGTTTTTTTGCCCGTTGGATGTTTACAACACAACCGACATAAAGTGCATTTGAAAGAATAATGTAAATAAAAAAGAAAAAGAAGAAAAAATTATTTCGCGGGTTTCCGTTACGGTGATGGTAGGTGTACCCGTATTATAGTGTACCTACTTGCCCTTCCCCTATACACACACAGCCGATAGGCTTGGCACTAAAAGCATTTTGCTTACCTTTTCACCAAGTCCGGTCTCGACTACAACGTCACAATCGATACGTGCCCATTTACTAATAAATAGTTACATCCATGCGGTCACCTGCAACAACAAAAGTCACAATTCGGATACCATATTACCGTCATCACTTGATACGATTTCCGCTAACCAATCCATTAAGGGCCTATTATAGGCACAATATTATTAATGACTTCTATCATTTATATAGCATTTACGCATGTCTCGTTGATTGATTCGAATTCGTTCGTACCTTTTAACATTTAAATGCGTGTCAAAGTGTCGTATTCGCTTATTTAATATGTCATAGATTTATTAATTAATACGGTTCGAAGATAAAAACTTTTAGACGTGATTCCGGTTAAATAGAAACAAATAACTGATTTACTGTAGCTGAGTAGTGGCTATTTTTTTACTAACGTGAATTCGAAGTCCAGTATTCTGGTAAATCTATATATTTATAATTAAAAGAGTTTAATATCCTGATTCGTTTAAAAATATCTTTGTAGAGATGTTACTTTTTTTTCCAGCTACCTTATTTTTAATGTTTATAGCTGGTAATTACATTGGTATTTTTACGGATAATTTTCAGTAAATTTATTTACACTTGAATAATAATTCAAGTTTTATTTTTAATATAATTTTCATTGTAGTCTAGTAAAGTGCTTTTGCTTTCGATTTTCTTTACAAATAACTTTCAATGTTAGCAAATAGTTTCAATTTTATATTATGCCTTGGTTTATAATGTTCTAGTATAATAGGTAACTATTTTAAGTACATCATTGAGTGTGTTAAACTACTGTGAGAAATTTCAGCCATGAAAGACCATCGTTATTTTCGAGAAACGTTAGTTCAGGAATATTGGTTTTACAATTATAGTGAAATGATAATTATTAATATAAGTCTTAAGTGTTATTGTATAATTGAATAATTTATTGCAATTTAAATGCATGGGAAAAAAAATATTCAATATTCAAACAATGGGGTTTTATTTAAAAATAATTTAAAGAATTGTGAAAATAATTTAAACTTTGAATACAATTTTATTGCGCAATCATTGATATTTTCGAATGTATTCTAATAGGTCTATTAAAAAAAATTAACAGTACATTAAAATATTTAGATATTATTAAACTATTTTATTAATATTTAAAATCATGGTTTTGATGGTTCACAAAGTCGCATCAAATGAAAATAATTAATTTTATTAATTTCTTAACAAAAGTTGAATTTTAATCTAATATTATACGTTTATTTGATCTAGCTTAAAAAATATAATATTCCAAGTAAAATAACTAAACACTGTACATTTTTAGTAAGCTATAGTAATGTAAAGAAATTGAACGGCCAGAAAATAAAAATAATTTTCATCTAGTACAATATTGGTATAATTTACTAAGTTTTTATACCAAAATATTTATTTATGTGCCCGCCTGGTATAATCAATTACACAAGTATTTGAAACAGTAATGTTTAAGGTCATTCAGTTAATCAGACATCAGTTAATCACTTACCATATCAAAATATATGATAGTTACAGATACTATACAGATCATAATAAATATACGATGCAGACAACTTTATAGTCTAGGATACATAGAATACAAGTATAGGTTATTTATACCTGGGCATATAAATTTATACCTATTTTACCATTTTCCACAACAATTCTGACCCATGTCTAGAATGTATACAATATTATGTATTATCGTTTTAAATATTACAAAATTACATTCATTTGAATTAAATAAATTCACATCCTTCAAAACTTAAAAAAAAAATGACCATGTAACCCACATTTAACTAAATTTATTTTAGTTACCTACTAAACTAAAAATATATTGTCATTGAGAAAACAATAATGCAAAATAGGAATATTATGATTATATGACTAATTAGGTACTTATGTTATTGTCTTATTGATGTGATATAAATTTCAAAAGAAAAAAAATGTTGATTTATTTTTGCTTAATATGTTGTAACACAATAACTATTTGAATTCGGTGCACTCGAGGATTAAGTGTTTCCTTTTTTGTTCACTATCACAATATTATTAAGGGGCTTCAGTAAAAATTAACTTACGACAGCCGTGTAGTCATATTGCCTATTCATATCGCCGTGTTACTAAAATTGTATTATTCAAAAGTAGAAAATATAAAAAATATGAGGTGGTTTACCACAGTCAGTAATGTATGCGGTGGTCAACCACCTCAAACAACCGTAACCCTCCTACAAAATGCTGATGGCCATTTATTTACTCGCAATGCTTAAGATCAATGAAATAAAAAAAACTTCTATCGCTACTAAATTCATTTGAAATAATTTTAATTGCAAATTATAAATGAACAACGAATTAATTAATTAATCAAACGATAAATGACCACAAACCCTTGTTCAAGGATATCATTCTGCCACTGAATTTTGTAATGAACTATCTAGGTACTAACTGTGATATTGTGCCATAAGTCATAATAGATGCTTTTACATTTTATGTATTATTTTTTGTACTATATTGTGTACAGAGATCTCTACATTTTCCAAGATAAGATGTGGCTGAATACAATTTACACTGGACAATAGTTCGATCATTCTCGCCACCGTCGTGGACGATACCTGTCACCCTTACAGTGAATTGTCAACCGTAATATTCAGTCCTTGATTCATGTTCTGGTTTTTCGACTTGTCTTATCACCATCCGGTGCCTGACGACTGTCCACTGGAAGCGAGGGAATAGGGCACACCATCGTTATCAGAGTACATCATCATGGTGAATCAGGTTACACTTTGCTGTTACCGCCATTTTATCAAATTTACGTTTGTCGGAGAACGATGCCCATCTCTTATTGAGTTGGGGACTTTGACCGTCGGAGTAAAAAACGCCAGTGTTCGATGTTGATAACAAGTATACCCGGATACACTACTCGTGGTGCACCGACGGCATGTATACGTACCACAATAGCTTGATTATCCGCTCTTTTGGTAATCATTCGATACCTTCAGTTAACTGTCCGTTCGGTACTTCCTATTGTGAGTTAATGGACTTATGACACGTGTTGATTTTTAGACATTGGTATTACGGTTTCCGCCACAACGTTTGAGTACACTTAGCTTTTCACGACGATGGCCAAAGTCACCGGACTTGTTCACTAATTATAGTCCACTTTGTCTTAGGGTAAATGAAAGTGAACAGTTTCTATTGAAAAATGTATAACTAGACGATGTACTTGGTTTTGTAACAAACGAAATCACCGGTTTGAAAACTTTGAAGAGTACAACCCCTAATTGTGAATATATTTCAGATATGTGTGAAAAGTCACTAGGTGTAGCGAAAGGTTATACAAATACGCATATTTATACCTACTACCAAATGTAAAATGATAATATTATCAATACTAATAATAAAACTTGAACGATACGTTATGCGTGCTGGCGACGATGGGATTGGAAAAATATTTAAAAAACTGACTGACTTGATCTCTGTATACATTTTATGTCGATAAAAAGGTGTAACAACAGCTATTGTTTTAAATTATAATCCTAATGTATATTATTTTCAGTTAGACTATAAATCTATGAAATATGTTTTTTAAACAGTATATTATGCATGAAACGGATTAACACCTATTTATAGAAAATAAATTATGCAATAGTGAAATGTATGAAATGTCTTCAGTTAGGAATAGCATTTGAGTAACACTAAAAATTCCCCTTTCTTCCTTTGTTATTCCCAAATCCGATAATTAAGTAAATATATTGACTAGTTCCAGTTTAAATTTATGGACATATTACATAATATTTGTATTATGTATATTACATTTTATACATATTATGTGAAAAAGTTTAATAATTAAATTTAAAAAAAAAGTTTTTATTTACTATTATTACAATCATTGCAGGTACACCATTTAGGATTCGGAAATAAGGTGAACGTAGATCGTGTACAATATAATGATGTAAATTAATTTATGCGATTTGATATTTTCTAATATCTTACACGAATGATTAGAATAATTATTATCAAGTATGAAGGCTGAGTATGCAATTTATATACCACACAGTACAAACATGTAGGTTCTTATATATATATAAAATGCATGCAATGCACGTTAAAAATATTTGGAAATAAAATCAAAATTAATATTTAATTTAATTTTTCAATGTACAATAATAGTATTCAGATTTCGAAAAGTCAATATTGTAGTAGTTCTATGTAGTTTTGTATACCTACCAGTTTTGAGACATATTTATTATTTTGAGATTTTTTCTGCCTACCTACTAAACAAAATATTATCGATGGTCATAAAAATACAGATGCATCATCTGTGTTCGGTTTTTTTCCATCCCTTGTGTATAAAATAAAAGGTTACCATAGTATGTGGGCAACGAGACTCAAGGATACAACTGACAATGACAAATAGGTTATGTAGAACATGTAGATAAAAGTATAAAACGTGTTCCTGAGAATATTTAAATCCTGTGAATTGTGAATTCTGAGTAAGCCATCTGAGTTTTTATGCCAGGGTAGAAAAATAAAATAAAAACGATTGTCATTCGATAGGACTGAAGAAACTTATCGAAGAATCCTGGACGGGGGTACAATTGCGATAAAACCGGCAACGAGCGAAATGTTAAAACATAGGTAGGTATTATTATGTATAAATCCGTTGAACGATGTCCTATTATATTGCTGTGTCTGATATACGTTTATAATCAAACGCAATCGACAATGCTACTCGTTAGCGCAATACGATTGTATAGTACAGTAAAATCGAAGTACGCGTAATCATCATGTAATAATTGACCTTAGGCCAAAATGAATCGTCTGAATATATTTTCCTCATCTATATGCCCATGTCTATAGCGAATAGCGATTATAGGTCTAAGAAACTCCGAATGAAATAAATAGTACTTGAATTGTGTCTCTGTTCTAATTATTTTGATACGAACTATTATAGAATATACACAGATAATGATAATAATATTATGTCCGATGAGGTAATAAGTGAATCAGCTAGAGTTCAGATTTTGAGACACATAGAAAAAATATTATAAATTTAGTTAAAATATGCTTATTACTTATTAGT